CACTAAACAGAATAGAGTACAATTATTTATGCCCAAGAGAAGCTTTAAGACACAACTTTGTGGTTTTATACAAATAAAAGTTAATAGACAATAAGAAAATAAAACAAATTAACTTAATGAACAAATCACAGAAGAGTGAAATTGAAGATTAAGTTTTCATTTAAAGCTTAGATAGGGTAATAGAATGCAGACTTCATCATGGTCATCTTCTCTTTCCTTCAGTGAACATCTCTCAGGATGCTCTCTCTCTGTCTCTCCTATTAAGTAAGAAAACCAGCTGCTAGAAGGAAGCCTAGAGAGACTATCCCTTCCCATATGCCAAATTCCATGCACAATGCATTGCAAGCTTTAAATAAGAAAGCACAAACCACCAGCTCCAGGGCAAGTCTTTTGCTGACCTAACTCTTTGAAGACTATCTAAGAAGTTATCACTAGTGAAAGTTATGTAGCAGAGAAGGAGACTGAGCAGGCTTACTTAATTTACAAATAGTGTTAACACAAACTGAAATACATGACAAAACCGCTTAACCTGTAATTTATTGTAGTAAGAAAACGTGACCTTTTTTGACTAAGAACATGGCAGATGGCAATGCTAATCTGTTCTTACCTACTTTGTAAATTATTTAGATGTTCAGAACATAGAGAGTATGGAAACTAAAAAAAAAAAAAAAAGGCATTTAATTAATGAATTATGAATTTTAGTTTCTAACCTGTTCAGAAGGGAGATAGATTCTCTTTAACATGCTAACCTTGATTAATACAAATACTCTATTGAAGTTAATGATAACCTGCTATACTGCTTTCTTTACAGAATAGCCTTTAACTTAAACGAGCAACGCATATAAGTGCAGTTTCTTGACAAAGTGACACATAGGTTTTTGGGAACCAACAGTATCCCGCAGTGCACCAAAATCCTAATAGTCTTTCCAACTTAAGATGTTACAGAGCCTAATAAATAAATAAATAAATAAATAAACAAATAAATAAAAAGAATTCAACACCTGTACCTGTCTTACAGTGACTGTAATCTTTGCTGTTCTGTTTGAGACGCATGAAAATCACCTGGTCTTCCTCATGTAAGTTAGGCTTTTTAACCTTTCTGTAAATCAGAATTCTGGAATACATGCACAAATAGCCAACTATAAAAGTGACTTGCAAAGTGTGTGCAGTGGTATGAATAAAATAAATTGTATGGTTTTTCAGGGAAAATATATGGCTACAAACATATGTAGAGGAAAAGCAACAAATTGTATACTGCTTTCGTCTGAATTCCACACCAAGAACAGAGAGCCTGCTGAGGGAAAATATCCACTTCTAACAAATCCAGAAATCCTAATCTCTATCAGAGATAATCTAATTAATTGAGATGTGTCCGCTTAGCAAAAGATACTACACTTTCTGAACACAGAATATGCATATAATGAGCTAGATTAAACAGCTAGTGAAACTATGCAATCCAAAACTTCCCATTAGAAAACATTTTTCTGTGAGTTTGATCATCCAAAGGATGTGGATGACATTATTTTCTCCTGCTGTCTGAAATCAGTGGTGGATTTACTAAACTCAGAAGAGTAAGTAAACCCAAAATTCAGGGTGTATTATTTTTAAACATGTATTGAAGACTCTTTTGAGGCAGAATAATAGCAAGTTAGGTGATTTCACATATATTGCACTTGAAATGCAGTGTTATTAATTAACTATTGATAGGACATGCTCCATAAATTAAACCTTAAAAAGATATTGTTTTTATTACAGGTACTAACATATCTAAAAGGGATTTCATGTACACCCAGTGCTTGTTAATAGGAAGAAAAGGTACTTTACTGGAATTAAGATATGTTTATATGAGACAAAGTTGTCTGCTATAGGTGTCTGTTTAGCAGCCAGGTAAAAGTTCCTCTTCAAAGACAGAGGAATCAGAGCTACTGATTTACCTCATCCAATAAAAAAAAGTGGTGTAAAAGAGTTGTTTAGTTCTATCTGACCTTGAGTGTAATTGGCTGCCTTGGATGTCTCAATGGTATATGCCATTGAGAAGATAAAAACATACAGGATTAAAATCAGAACTGATAAAGCTAAGAAATTAAGTATTACTCCTTTAATAAGCCTTTTTCATGAAAGTATCTGAATACCAAAATATCTCCTTACTGATTTTGAAGTGTGAAGAAGTTTAAAAACAAGTTATGAAAAGTTAAAGTATCTAATATTTTGTTTTTCATATTCTTTCCTGTTCTTTCCTATTCTTAGCTGTTTAACATCTATGAATACAGAAGTCCAAGTAAGATTTTTTACTCCATGACACTCTAGTTCATCCAAAAATCACCCGTACACAACCACACTCTCCAACTTCTTATATAAACCACTAGTTTATTTTGTATCTTAAAAAGAATGTGGAAACATATTTTTTCTATTCTATTTTTTCAGAGTAACAGTTCTGTTTTTTCCATGCTTCTGTACTATTTAAGCATGTAAAAGCTCATATAATTTTAAGAACATTGTTTTACAAGGTCAGGATTGATTATTAAAGATGAGATTGTTCCATGGTACTCCAAAACAATAGTTTTGCCAACCAAACTCAACCTTATTTTAACTGACAAAAAACAATTAGCCAAGAGAAATAGGTCTGTCAATTAAAATGCCAGGGCAAAGGCAGACACCATTTCTGTCTGCTGAGAATAAAGCCATTAATAAAGTGGGAGTGTGGCAAACTATGAGAAAAGAAGGTTACAAAAGACTAAACTTTAAAAACCTGAATGTGTGGAGCTCAAAAGAAAAAAAGTCCTTTTGCCCTTTGGTATCACAGTAGTTTGTGTTAGACTTCTATCAGAATTTAAGAGGCACTTATTCAGCAAAGGTTTTGAACTGTTAAAAACAATTATAAAAATTGAAAGTGAGATGATGATTTAGGAAGTATAAACCAAAAAAAGAAAAACCAAGAAACATTTGACCATGAACTTATATTGCTATGCTACTGAAAATGATCTTGTTTCCTTCCTTGATACAATCACAGAAACAGGCTATTGCAACCAGGATGCAATTTTATGCTAACTATTGTATCAAGGAACATTGATACAATATGAGGAAGTCATTAAGAGACATCAATCAATAAACTTTCTGGTATTTAAACAGAAATTTAGGAACAGTACACAGCAACATATCTGCTACTTAAGTTTGCTTCAAAACTCCCTGGTGAAAAGGATTGAGTGTTATGGAGAAAACCACATCAGTGTAACTGCAAGTGGTAAGGTTCAGTTCTAAGGCTTATTTTGTCACTTTCTGAGCCTCATCCTATTACAACAACTATATCACTGCACTGTATTGTATCTTTACATCTTTCAGCTATCATCGAGCATTTTACATTAAATCACATTGTTCCAGTAGTAAAAAACTATTAGGGGGTTCAGAATTAGGATACATTTTAGGATCACTGCTGTCTAAAAAAAAATTGTATCTATCCTTTAAATAATAAAAACAGAATCTATGAAGTGTAATTCAGTATCCACTAATCCCTGTAATAGATTTGTTTAAAAATCCATCCTGTATTTTAAATGCCTAAAATTTACTCATTTCATTTCCTCTGAACAAATGTAAAAGTATGTTTTACACAAAAAGTAAAACACAGTGATATACCATGCATTATGTATAAAGAGTAGACCACAAGGAAGATTTCAAGTAACATTTGCCTCCTATTCCTTCCAATCTTTATGATTCTAATATCCATTTTAAAACTTGAATTAAGTATTACCCAAAAAAATGAAACAGAAGTCTAGTGGCTTATATATATTGCATTTTTTTCTAAATCAAAAAAATCAATAGTACTAACAACAAAAACATGACTTTACCATTAAACAAGTTTATCTTACATTTAAAAAACCCAAGGTTAGAATGCTGGGAGGGTGAAAAAACAAAAAACAAACAGGTACACTGGAAATGTCATTGTCTTTAACCCTTAGTCAGGAAACACATTTTTAGTAAATAATCCTGATATTGAAAAACCCTCATCAATAATTTTAACAACATCCTTCCGTTTCCTCCACTGTACGTAACTTCAAACTCCAACTCCACTGAAAGTCACACTGCTTGACATCCATTCTCACTGGTACATTTTCAAAATGGTTGGTGACATTTCTGCTAGTTTTGTCACTTGCATCTTTTTGAGGTTCTCCTCCCACTTTGTGACATTTCTTATCACTTCCTCCCTAAATCTTCCTCAATACCACAAGTGCTTCTATTTTTCAAAATACCAGTGAAACAGTCTCTTTTGTTCAACTATCAATACACAGAAGAATACTGAGACCTGGAAAGACAGTAGTAGGGCTGAAGAAGAGACACAAGCAGCAAAGATTGCTTTAAATAAAAAATAAACAAAAGCTGCAGAGCTTAGCTCATCACACATCACTGGCCTGGCATCACAGGGTTTCCTCTCTTCCCATGTTAGATTTCCAGATGGTTTCAAACCTCTTTTTGTTTCTCTGCTCCTTGATTTGCTATCAGAGGTGTGATAACAACATCTTTTCCCTCATTACTCATTAGGCCTGGGGAAAATTCTAAATCCTGATGAAAAAGCATCTTTCTCTTCTCACACCTAGCATGTTCCATTCTCTACTTTAGGATTATATCCAGAAAACAGCTAATCCAGGTTTTAAAATATTTTTATTGTTTCATCAAAAACCAAAGTATTCCTGTATTTCTTCCTTATTTTTTCCTGTAGCCTAAAAACACCTTATGATAGCTAGAACTGCTGTCTCATATGTATCATGTGAAATCCAGATACTTTTACAGTTTACAGATATTGGTGTACATCTGCCAGTCCCAAAAGCAGAAAAGTGAAATTATACCTGAAGTTTTACCTTGAAAGTGTTTTCCAAGTAGCCTAAAATTCCAATTGACTAAGCAGTAAGTATGCATTTACACCTATAGTTTCATTTGCACAAGAATAGAAAGATCAACCACCAAAAGGTAAATTTCTGGTGCCTATTTTAGAAAGATAATCATCTTACCTTTACAGTTTCACTTAAAATTTGAGTTTTTTCTTGTTCGTCAGTGGAGTGCAATTCTAGTTTATTATTTAACTCCTGCAGCTGCTGGGCCTGTTCACTCAAAAGCACTTTTGCCTTATCCTCCCAGTATAATGCATTATTTACTTCTTCACATACACTTTCAAACTTCTCAGAGGTGATCAGTTTCTGATAAGGGAAACAAATTGTGTTTGATTGTCTAACTGTATTCATTTGCTTACATGCTTGACTTTCACTTGCAAACATATCATTTTCTAAACCAAATGCATGCTATAGATAAATATGTAGGTTTTTGACATGAAGACTGTATTTTTTTTTTAAAGTATTCAGGATACTGTAAACAGTATGAATTCATTATTCTACTCAAATTAGGACCCCAAGTTGCAAAGAATGAGTATTTAGAAGGAAATATGCACATCAATGTCCCACATTTCAGTGCTTATCTTATTAACTCTTGTAAATGTGTTCCTGAACTCCTTATTCCCCCCACAAAATGTTCCAGAAAGAAGAAATAATTATTCAAAGAAAATCATAATCTACATTTGAATAACAAGCTAAAAGGTGACAATTTTATCTAACGGTCCAAGAACTGTAAGGGAATAATACTAAGTTAGTAATAAGTTAATAATAATTGTTAGTACTAAGAACAAAACTGATTAGATTATTAGATTAGTTAAAAAAATCCATTTTACCAGGTAGGAACAGGAAGGAGAATGGAGGTGAAATAATCTATTAAAGATTCTCTGCTTCTAAGTGTTTTGATTGGGACACACTGGCAGGTCTACCAACTAGGCCTCAGGATCAACACTGGGCATAGCTACAGAAAATGCTGCTCATTCTGGGACGTGACTGTTTCATTTATACTGTGCACCTGTAAAGCATGTATAAGAATCCTTACCAATTCACTGATAGTTCAAATAATAGCTCAACTCTGAATAAAATCTATAGAAAACAAGCATGGGAGGAAAAGTGTCCAGTGAACCTCCAGAATGATAAAGCAAGACAAATTTCTTCCCTGCCAGCGAGGACTGAAGGCACAGTTCCATGAGAATGACAAGGAACAAATCAACAACCCACAAAATGGCATCAATCCCTCAAACGCTATGGCCATTACTCACTATACTGTGCCTTCAAGTGGTTAAGGAACCTGTTTGTTGTCTCATCTCATTCCTGCCAGACAGTGATATCTACAGGCTAGTGAAGCCATAGTGTTTAAATAAATTGATCAGCAACAGCAGCGGGTCAGTGGAATGTGGCCAATATGTGTTATAGAGAATACAAAGGAGAACTTTTGTTTTTCCTTGCCATAAATTTACTCCTTTGAGGAAAGAGCCTCACTAAAATTTGCACTGAATAGCTCAGGATATAATCCATACTCAAAGATACATTAACATGTGTATTGTAATATTCAGCAATACAGAAGTTAAAATACTAAATTTATACTTCATGAACTTCTCATTAACATACTTATTGAATACTCACATTTCAGCTGATTTTACTCTGTTGAATTTAAATCTATAAATCCTTTCAGGATATATAAATCACATTTTCAACAAGTTGAGGTAAAACCAGCTGGCTGAAGTCCAAACATGCAATTTACACAGAATACCTCATGCTACAAACTAAAGAGTAACTCCTGTAGAAAGGAGAGACTTCTAAATAAATATGACTTACAGTTTAGTGACATATACAAGGCAATGTTTCTGGAATATTTTGTTAATGGCAGATTGATTTTTGAACTTGTTTTTTTAAAAGAACCCAAGTAAAAAGAAGTGTTAAAGGGAGGATGTCTTGTAACCAGTCTCCTCTAAATCTAATATACTTACAGATTGCTTCAATGTATTTAATTTCTTTTTCAGGCCCTGGGATTTGTCATTTTCTATCTTTAACTCACTGAAATTCCATTTAAATTCTGCAAGTTTCAGGCGCAGTGAGTGGCGTTCCACCTCTGCTGAACGAAGTCTTTGTATAAATTCTAGCATTTGCTTCCGCAAGCATGCTACGCTTTCCTGTTAGTAAACAGAAACAAATTCATGTGTTGTAAAATGTGCTACTTACCAATAAAATCCACCACATTTGATACCTAAGCAGATCAGACAAAGTTGTCATTTTGTCCTCCTCCATCTTTAAAATACACACAATTGCAAAAATGTGAACTTGTTTCACCTACTGTTAAGGGTTACTGAATATTCTGCTTTCATGGAAGCACCTGTTTTCACAAGTTGTCCATGATAAAAGATACAATTATGTGATAAAGAGTTATCCTTTCATTTTACTTAAACGGAAGAAGTTTATCTTTACTGAAGATAGAGCAGTGAGCAGAAGAAAAAAAAAAAAAACAACTTTAACATTTAGTTAAAGCCAAAAGCAAGTCTGTTCTTACAAAGCAGAGATAATTTTTGAGAGAACTTAAAAAAAAAACAAAACCCTTTTCTTGGACACATTAAATTTCTTAAAATTATTTGACAATAAAAGAAAAATCTACTCATGCCCTAATCCCCCTGGGTGTTGCAACCAAATTCTGATTCTCTGTCTTGTTGACTTCAGTGTAACAGACTCAAAAACAATCTGAAACAAAATTAATGGTACTATCAAGAGAGCTTCAGTGTAACACTTATGCTGTGAACCTACTGTTTACATGAAGTAGCAGGATAAATATGCATACCATAATGGGCAGTCTGTCACACAATCCAGTTCCCAGGGCCTCGGTATTTATTTTATGAAGTCCATGAGCCAGCCTCTGTACCAAGGAGTCTTTCTCCAAGTGAATAATTCTTCTGTTACTGTCTAGTGGAACAGTCTGCATTATTACTTTCAGCTTGTGCATAAGTTCTGAAAAGGAGTTCCTGGCTGCACTTACGAGTAAGTGTCCAGCAAGCCAGGGCTTCGGATCTTTCAGAAACAACAAAAAAGAAACACCAAGTAGGTTATTAATTTCCTTTTTTTTTTCATTGGAAAAAAATCAACAACAAATAGCATCTTTAAAATTTCCATTAAAGAGCAGAAGATTGAGCTCACCGGAATATCTCAGAGAGACCTTCAGATAAATTCTGCATTTAGCAGTGAACACTCTACTACTATCAGCCTATGGATGGAAGGGTAGGATACAGTCTTAATGAACTTGATTTGTGTGCAAAAAATCACTTTCCAATTATTTTTATGTTCTCCAATACTATACTTTCTTGGGTATTCTCAGCTTGTAATTCAGAAAATATGTATGACAGATATAAGCAAATGAAAGCCAGGTCAAGTACATCAGATTTGATATAAAAATTTGATGGTAAATCATTTTATCACAATATTTACAATGCAAATTTCTCAGGGCTTCCTGACTCCTCTCCCCTCTATACATGTCTAAATCATTTGCTGTTCAAAATTAGCGAGGCTTGCTACCTTAATGCCATACTATTTATATTCTGAGACAAGAGAATATAATTTACCTTATTCCAAGGCAATTAAAATTTTACAGCTACAATTACTTATTTCCCCACAGGATTTTGGTAATCATCCTTCTCATATAATGGACTTAAGGCCCCAGCACACCCAACATGTCCTGCTTACTGCTAGATTCGTCAGGTCTGTAATTAATAATTGTGTTTAATGTTGATAAATAAAATTGTCAGTGCTCCTTCCACTAATTGGTATTCCAGATAACAGTTAATAGGTTTATTTATGCCTTAATAAAAGTCTTGTAATTTAGTTTTCCCTCTGCAAGGCAGGTCTTAATCTGTCATTACTTGTCTTATGATACTATCAGTGTAAGATGACAAGCATGGAAGAGCTTATTTACATTCAGTAGTACGGCAGATCTCCTGTTGCTACAGTGAATTAAAATATTTACTTAAAAGTACAAACAGAAATAGATAACTATAGATTTTTGAAGTTAAAGAATTTCTTTTTATACACTGGAAGGATAAAGGCAAAGTTTCAAAACAAAAAAACAGCACTACTGATATTTTTAGATTATGATTCTTATTAGAAAGAATGTATCATTTACACATGATATTAAATTTATCTGTAAGCAAAGAAAAAAAAAATGATTAAGAGCCATTCTCCTGCTTAGTTTCAAAATATCAATTCCAGTGCTTAACTTGAGTACCATTTTTGAGTACATGCTCTCCTTAGCCCCAGATAGTAGTGAATCTGTCTTCCCTTCACGTCTGACAGCACCCTTTCCATTCATCTTTAAAGCTAAAAATCTTATCCAGCATTTTTATGTATTTTTCTTGCCCTTCAACTAACAAAACATCCCTTGAAATAAATAAATAAATAAAAGGATAGATAGATAGACAGATACATATATACATACATACATACAAACAACAGACAGACAGACAGACAGACAGATAGATATTATTCTCATCCCCATAATAAACTGCTCTTTTGATGCCCTGGCAAATTTAGCCAAAGCTCCTTTTGCTTCCTTATGTTGGTTCTCTGTAATTGACGACATAAAGGATAAGCTAACTTCATAATTTTAATATATCACAGATTATCTTGTCCTCCTTGTCTTTCAGTATCAAAGACTGTCTTTTCTCCAGTTACAATGTATACACTGGTTTGAATATTTACAAAAATTAACTTAAAATTAAAATAGTTGTACTGCCATCCATGTCAGATCACAACAAAACCTTCTAAAAACTCTCCTCTGCTGTGATTTTTGGTAAATACCAAAACAAGAATACTGTCAATGAGCTACTGTTCCTTCATTTTTCCTAACATTTCCAACTGGTATATCACTTTACATGAGGTTGTTTACTTGAGAGAAAACACAGTATTTCTCCATATGTGCAATATCTAGGATGACAGTCCCTTTCCCTATGTCTAGACCCTCCAGTTTAACTGTATTAACAATTAAACTAATAATAATAATTCAGATAATTGTAACATTTTTAAACAACCACTCTACTTCATAACCAAGATTCCTATTATTCAGTACCACTCAGCATCCACACCTTAAAGGCACTTCTTCGGGCTGAGGAATAAAAACAGCAAATGATCACTCTGTTTATATTTTTTATGAAGAACAGTTTGGAACAAATACACAGAAATATGTTGATACAAGTTACTAACTGCTTTGAAAGATGCAATGAGAATATAATGGAATTTTACAAGGAACTGTACCTATAATGTCTAGAAAGAGAATACTGGGTTCAAGTACACACATTTTAAGTACCTGCCCATGAAGGATAAAGGAATTAAAAGAAAAGCATTAAATTATGCACATTGTGATGTGTGTAAGAAATTATTAACAAAAATATAGCTATATCGCAAAAAGCAATAAATTCTTACATAACACAACTGAAGAAAATGACAACGAAAAGTGACAAATCTTACTTCACTAACAGATGAAGAAAGAATTCTTGTTTACTCTTGTTTCAGTGAAAAAGAAGAGTCAGCAGGATTAATCTAGTCATGCTACAGCAGACCAAAACTTTCTTGCTGAGATTCAAAAGCCTTGTTATGTAACAGTTGATGACATTTGTATTAAAAAAAACCTTGATCTTCACTTTCTCTGGTTTATCACAGCACAGATTCTGTTCAAACAAACCTACAAAACTAATCTCAAAAAAACCCAAACCTAACCAGACCAAACAATACAAACATTTCAATTAACCTGTATTCAAACTGAAGCTAAGAGATTATTCCAAGACATGCTGGAATGAGAAGCAAACTGATGAATAGTGTCAAGGGAAATTATGAATGTCAAACAAAAAACTCCTTTTTAAATTACAAAAGCTCAAGAACTCACTAGAGCAGACAAGCCCAAAAGTTCCAGTGTTACCCAAGTGATCTGGATTTGGTTCTTTCAACTGCCTGAAATGGTTTCTTAGAAGCTAGCCATCTTCAGAAGCAATTTTTAAGATGCCAAACTATTTCATATTGTAGATCCAGATAGCACCTTCTTAGGCCTACTCTATCCTGTGATGTGAATTCATGGAATCATAGGATTCTCAAGGTTGGAAAAGACCTTCAAGATCATCAAGTCCAACCATCCACCCTACAAACCCTAATCATTAAACCATATTATGAGACACCATGTCTACCCCTTTTCTGAACATATCCAGGGATAGTGCCTCTACCACCTCCCTGAGCAGCTTGTTCCAATGCATCACTACTCTTTCTGTGAAGAAATTTTTCCTAATATCCAGTCTGAATCTCCCATGGCACAACTTGACCCCATTTCCTCTCTCCTGTCGCTGGTCACCAGGGAGGAGAGGCCAACACCCACCTCACCACAACCTCCTTTCAGATAGCTGCAGAGAGCAATGAGGTCACCCCTCAGCCTCTTCTTCTCCAGGCTGAACAGCCCCATCTCCCTCAGCCTCTCCTCATAAGACCTGTTCTCCAGACCCCTTATCAGCCTGGTTGCCCTTCTCTGCACCCTCTCTGCACCTCCATGTCCTACCTATGCCATGGTGCCCAAAACTGCACCCAGTTCTTGAGGTGCAGCCTCACAAGGCTGAGCAGAGGGGCAGGATCACCTCCCTGTTCCTGCTGGTCACACTGTTCCTGATGCAGGCCAGGATGCTGTTGGCCCTCTTGGCCACCTGGGCACACTACTGGCTCATGTTCATACAGCTGTCAATCAGCACCCCCAGGTCCCTCTCAGCTGGGCAGCTCTGCAGCCACTCCTCCTCAAGCCTGTGGTGCTGCCAGGGGTTGTTGTGGCCAAAGTGCAAGACCTGACATTTGGCCTTGTTGAAACTCATACAACTGGCCTCAGCCTATCGATCAAGCCTGTCCAGATCCCTCAAGCAGATCAACATTCTCACTCAACTTAGCATCATCTGCAAAGTTACTGAGGGTGCACTCTGTGCCCTCATCCAAATCATCAATAATGATATTAAACAGGAGCGGCCCCAGCACTGAGCCCTGGGGAACACCACTTGTGACTGGTCACCAACTGGATTTAACTCCATTCAACACAACTCTTTGGACCTCGCTGTGCAAATTATTTTTTATCCAGCAAATTGTGTGCACATCCAAGCTATGAGCAGCCACCTTCTCTAGGAGAATGCAGTGCAAAACTGTGTGAAAGGCCTTGCTAAAACCAAGGCAAAAGTATCCACAGCCCTTCCATTGTCCAATATATGTGTCACCCTGTCACAGGAGGAGATCAGGTTAGTCAAACAGGACCTGCCCTTCTTGAACCCATGCTGACTGGGCCTGATCACCTGATTGTTCTGCATGAACTGCATAATGTTCTTCATAATTATCTGCTCCATCAGCTTTCCTGGTACTGAAGTCAGACTAACAGGCCTATGTTTCCAGATCATCCTGCTGTCCCTTCTTATATATGGAGGTAACACTGGCTGATTTCCAGTCTGCTGGTACATCCCCAGTCAGCCAGGACTGCTGGTAAATGATGGAAAGTGGCTTGGTGAGCAGCCCTCCTTGAAAGAGTCCAGTGCAGAGCCACAAAGATGATTAAGGGAGTAGAACATCTCCCTTATAAGGAAAGGCTGAGGGAGCTGGGTCTCTTTAGCTTGGAGGAGACTGAGGGTAAACATCAATGTTTACAAATATGTTGAGTGTCAGGAGGATGGAGCCAGGCTTTTTTCAGTGATGACCACTGATAAGACAAGTGGCAATGGATGCAAACAGGAGCATAGGAGGTTCCATGTGAATATTAGGAAGAACTTCTTTACTGTGAGAGTGACAGAGCACTGGAACAGGCTGCCCAGAGAGGTTGTGGAGTCTCCTTTGCTGAAGACCGGACAAGTTCCTGTGTGATGTGATCTAGGTGATCCTGCTCTGGCAGGGGGCATTGGACTAGATGATCTTTTGAGGTCCCTTCCAACCCCTAGGTTTCTGTGACACCTTACAGTGGTCTTCCAGTAACTGAAGGGGGCCTCCAGAAAGCTGAGGAGGGACTTTTTGCAAGGGCTTGTAGTGAGAGGACAAGGGCTAATGGATTAAAACTGGAGGAGGGGAGATTTAGGTTAAACATTGGAAAGAAATTCTTCCGTGTGAGGGTGATGAGACACTTGAACAAGTTGTCCAGGAAGCTGTGAATGCCCCATCCCTGGATGGGTTCAAGGCCAGACTGGATGGGTCTCTGTGCGACCAGATCTAGTGGGAGGTGTCCCTGCACATACAGGGAGGTTGGAACCTGATGATCTTTAATGTTCCTTCCAACTCAAACCATTCTGTGATTCTACAACAGCAATGCAGAGGAATGAAGTGAGTTCTGGAATCAGTTCTTGAATGCAAAGACACTAAGGTAGATATTTAACAGCTAGGAATCAAGAGGTTACAATTCCAAATACTGGCATAAAAATTTTCCATAGACATAACAGAATTCAAAACAAGAAAGCACCAAGGAAATTAGATAAACAAACAACAAAAAAATCTAATTAAGCACATACTTAGAGAGGGAACACAGCAGAGATATAAAATAAGTACTGCTATACATTGTGTAAAATTAGAGCATTTTATCTCTCTCTCAAAACCCACAAAATAGCACGTAAACCAGCTAAAAATCAGATCCATCAATTTCAACGGTTTTTCAGATTTGGAGATTATAGTTTCATATCATATACAATACAGCAGAAAATTATTTCCTGTCTGTCAGCAGTTATTAAAACCCAGGTTGCCTATATGTCCATTTTATGGCCTTTACTTAAGAAATACACAGATCAAATAGACAGAAATTATGCAGATTTCTCTATAGAAAGAAACTGAGTTCAGCTTCAGCATAACTAGGAAGCTTGTAAATATTACTTCATTGAAAGCTTTTAAGAACAGGTTACCTAAATATCTATTTGCATGGTGGTGTTTTTTTCTATCTCACAACAAAGTAGGCAACACTGTTTATATACTTTCTAAAGCATTCTCCAACCTTATGTTTCTGTCACTCTATATAACTAAATTTCAAATCACCAAATTATCACCAATTAAAGAAAATTAATCTATTCCAACAATATTCAAATCTCCAGATATTTAATTCAGAGTAGCTTGGATAAAATTCTAAAAATGGAAATGATGTAACAAGACTAATTACTTTTTTTACCTTCTAAGAATTCTAAGAATACACTTTTAAATTACCTGTTTTGTGAATAACATCCTGTAATTCAGTGACAGAACTGATTACTGAAGCAAGGAGGTTAGAACTAGTAAACCATCTGAGTGCTTCACCACAGTCAATTTGTCCGACTTTGTGACCTGTGAAACAGAATTACAGTTGGCAGTAAAACTGAGTAACGTAGATAAGGAACAAATTACTTTCAGAAATTGAGCAAAACTCAGTATATAAGCCACAAACTAATTCTTCTTTCAAGACCACTTAGACTGTATTAAATACACTTTCAGAACTACTAAAATGAAGACAAAACAACAAACAAACAAACTATTGTTAGAGATGTAACTTTTGGGTTAGAAAATGTTTTTATACCATTTATCCTCGTAGCTAGTCTGGTAACAAAAAGGGACAGGAAGACTATATCACCTCTAAAGAAAAATTTAGAAATCCTACACTAATATTTTATCTGAATTAGAAAGCAACTTTTTGCACTTTTAGTAGGAAATATCTGTTTAAAAAATATGTTGATAGTCAATAAATTAGAAGCGTTACAAGATATTTACCACAGAGAATATGTGGTGGCACCTAGTTCTGAAATTGGTAACGCAAATGTCAAGGATTTGAAACCGTATAAGTTCACATGTATAATTATAACTTTTCTTTCAATGCTTAATGGACTAAGAATTTTCTTTTAGGGGAAATGACATTTGTCAAGAAATCCAGAAATCATAAATCCAGAAATTAGATTTGACAAAATGGTATAAAATTTGTCTTTACACTCTATTAATAATATCATTACTACTTGTTATTCACTAACCATTTAATTTGACATAATATTTACCAAAGAATTAAAAAAAAACCAACAAAAAACACCAATTAGCTTACTTGACAGATTGCACTTGCCTTTAGAGTCTCCTATACAAATTAGCATTCCATTGCCTTCTTTGGAGCCATTTACCCAGGAGAAGACAGAACTAGAAGACTGTGCTAAAACCTTCAGTCTGTTAGCTGCCAAAACTGCAATCACACCTCTTCGGAACACACAAATCAGGCCTTTGAGTTTTCTTTTCTTCAGTTTGGCTTCATCTTGATTGTTTTCCCCTATATCAGAGAGAGCATGAACTAGGGTTCTAATCTCCTGTTTCACTGATTCATAAATGTCAACCTGATGCTGGAGAAGAGCTCTTTGGGAAGACATAGCACATGATCGGCCATAGAGAGGATACAGGGCACCTGCCAATAGTGCACAAGCAACCAGGAGAGATGAATGCTCCTTCTGAACTTTCCTTAGTGTATTTTTCACAGAAACATTTTCAAGACCCAGTGTCTCCAATCTTCTTTCAAGGTCATCAGTTTTTTCCTTGTTCTTCTCTGCTGTTTTTTGGAATTCCTGGGATAAGGTGTACAAACATAATCACAAGAAATACCAATTAGAAGATATTTCTTAAAATAACAAAATAATTTTTACCTAGACAGAAGCTAAATTAAACTTATCTTTTTCAAATTCAAATAACTCAATTAAAGGAATTAAAATCACAAGCAGTGTTGGTCAAAGTACCTCTCCTAGCAAATAGCTGTAGAACCAGATATATAAAAACAAATCAGTAATATGAGGAAAAATTTCACAGCCTTCAAATACAACTGGGCTCCAGATATCTGACAATACTACAATAGCACTGAGATAGACCACAGAAGGTTGAACAGTACCTGGCTGTCCACAAAACTGTTTTATGATTTGGCTTTACAATAAGCAATTAAATATTCTAATTTCAGAAAAAACACTGCTCTTCAAAGCAGAGAAGAAAGTTAGTATACAATAGAGGAAAAAAAGAAGGAAGACTGGAAGATAAACCTAAACAGATTGGCAGCAGCTGGGAAAGGGGAAGTAAAGGTGATCTCTTAATTACTTTGTAATCAACCCCCTACTTATATATTCACAGATTAATTAGGTCTCATACAGAATTGAGTTTTCAAAAGAACCAAGTAACACAAGATACTTTTATTTTTACTAGTACTGTTACAGATTTGTTTCAGCTTGCCAAATATTTTT